CCTGCGGCGGCCGCCTTGGGGCTCCCTGGGCGGCCCCGGCGCCCGTCCGGAGCCGCAGGGACAGCGAGGCGGGACAGGGGTCTGCGCGGGCGCCGCGAGCCGGGCCTGCTCCGGGTGTCCCCGGCCGCAGCTCGCCCGCGGAGAGGGGGCACGAGCCGCCCTCGTTAGCGCCGTGCGGGGCCGGGCGCGGGGGCAGCCCGCACGGCCGCGGCGRCGGGCACGGCGAGCTCCGGCGCTGCCGAGGGGCCGGCAGGAGCTCCCCCACGCGGGTTATGTCGCTGCCGGGCAGGACGCGGCTCCGCCGCGGGCTCTGCGAACGGGCCCTCGGCCAAGAGCGCTTCCGCATCCCTTTCCCCTTGCCTTCTCCCCGCGCCCGGGCTTGGGGAGCGGGTGAAGCCGCGGGAAATGCAGCCTCCGTTTATCATGCAGCGCGGTTGACTCCTGTGTAGGAAATGGGCCTTGATTTATCTGCCCTCCTCTCTGTAAGCTGTGAGGTTTGATATTTATTTATTTTTTATTATTGTTGTCTCTCCTGYTTTCGTATGACAAAGCTGCTGTCGAGTTTTAGCCTTAGGCTGCCAAAACTGGAGTCTGGAACTTTCCCAGATAGGTGAGCCTAAATTGTGGCTYGGGAGTCTAGATATTACAGTTTTCTAATTGAATATAGATTAACGTAGAGAAATTTTGTTAGGGAATGCCCTCTTGAATGCTATGAGAGCTATAATTGCTATTCTGTTTTATAGTGCTAGACTTTTCCTGTCAGTTTTGCTTGCAGGGACAGTATCTCATCTGGTGAGATGCTGCCGAACTGCCTACTTCCATATTTTCCCTGTCAGAAGGAAAGCATCACTTCTCTTCCGTTGGGAATGCCATGTTACTGACATCTAGTGACAAGGATACCTTGTGCTCTTGAGGCTGCAAACTGGCCCTCTTTCCCTTCAAGAAGAGAGGCCATTTCAGATATCTCTGAAGGAGACTGGGGCTAAATTGTCTGCTCCAAGACAGCACCTCTGGCTTCACAAGAATTGAACCTGGAGGCTCTGAAGTGTTGTATCTTTGTCTTTGAAAAACAGATGACTCAAAATACGCTCTGCTCCCTAGTATCTCTTCTCCCTAAWGAAGTGGGAATGAACCCTGAACAAAACATGCTTTGTATAGAGGCWTCCTTTGACCTTAGTTAATCTTTCCTTAGCTTTATTACTTATCAATGCAGAGATGAGACAAGACTGTCTTGTGCAACACGAGATGTCTTGCATCAATGTTTTAAGCTTATATTGCTGAAGATCATTAATGTATGTTAAATATGTTCTAAAGGTTAACTGAAGGGCAGACAGGAGTACGGCCTAGGGTGCAAAAATATAATAGATCTGCCTTTTTTATTTATTTATTTTTTTCCCCTTTTCTTTTTTTTTCCCTTCCTCTTCCTTCCTTTAGTAGATGACCTACAGAGTCACGGAAGGGTTGCAGTTGAGAGGGACCATCTACTCCAGCTTCTGCCCTTGGCTCATGTACAGCATRTTGTTGAGGACTGTGTACAGATGATTTTCACATATCTCCAATGATTGAGGCTTTACAGCCTCTTCAGGCAACCTGCTCCAGTGCCGAGTCACCCTCACAGTCAAKAAGCTTTTCCTTATATTCAGGTGGAGCTTCCTGTATTTCAGTTCATGCCCATTACCCCACATCCTGTCACTGGACAAMGTTGAACAATCTGGCCCATCTGCTTTGCRCCTTCCCTTCAGATATTTATATATATTGATAAGATCCCCCTTAGCCTTCGTCTTCTCCCGGGTGAACAGTCCTTGCTCTTTCATTCTTTCTTCCTRTGAGAGATGATTCAAACCCCTAAACATCTTTGTAGCTCCGTGCTGGATGTGCTGCAGTGCTTCCTTGTGTTTCTTGTACTGGGGAGCTCAGAACTGCGCAGCCCTCCGCATGTGGCCTTGCCAAGGCTGAGTAGAGAGAGAAGGGCACCTCCCTCSATCTGCTGGCAATGCTTTTGATGCAGCCCAGGATCCCACTGGTGGTCTGGGCCATGCTTACAGTCAGTCAGCAGTCCACCAGGACTCCCAGCTCCTTCTCCACAGAGCTGCTTTCCAGCGGAGTCTAAAGTTTCTAGCCAGCAGCTTCTTTCTTAGTCCTCARCAGGAGGTTGTCACGTTGACTGGAAGCTCGCAGGTTGCGGTGYGGGGTGTCAAATGCAGTTTTCAGTTCCTAACTCACAGCAGAAGGAGATAGCAGCAAGTCAGGGCAACTAGGTCGTCAGTGATCTGCAGAATACAAGCTCTTACTTGAGCTGCTGTCCCTTTCTGTGACTTTTCCTGTTAGAATATGAACAGGGCACAAGGCACTGTGCAAGGTTCCAGCTCAAGAGCGAGCGGTCCAGCAGTRGCTTTGGCGTAAATTTAAAACTGCCTTGAAGCAAAACTGTGATAAGGTGGAGAGATGTTAGAARCTGTTCTCCAATGCCCTGCGGGAAGGAGGGAGCTTGGCATCTTCCCCTGTGTCAGTGTTATCTCTTGTTATCCGCTAGGCTGGTTGTGTGTGGTGTGTTGCAGAGAATAGGCTGTAGGAGGAGAGCCTGGTGAGAGCTGAGCGTGCTTCTCCTCTGCCCACCACTTGTGGGGATTTATGGGATTGAGTTTAAAATAGGAATGGTTTCTCTGAAACCGAAGGGTTTATCTTGGTAGCCGTTTAGCTCATGATATGCCTCTTAATTAAATTACGCTGCCCGTCTTCATCAGGCTGAAGCGATCGCAGCTACTCTTGTTCAAAACCAGCCACAGCCTGTGGCCTCCTGGAAAGTGGCTAATGCAGCCCTCTAAGCAAAGCTTAGGGCTTGGATTAGCTCGTGGCACGATGACAGCGCTGTAACCCTTAAGCCTTTTGATTCGGTAATGGCTAGTGCTAGCCTGAAAAGACTAGTTTACTAAAATAACTCCTACTTTTTCAGTGCAGCCTGACTAATCCCACTTGCCCTTTGACTGTTGTCACTTCCAAGATCATACTGAATTCTGGAATGCAGAAATCGTTATGGCTGGTGACTTAGTCTCCAACCCCCTACAGCGGAGGGGCAATACCTCTCCTGGTCTCCTCCTGGATGAGAACTCAAGCAGCTCATGTACCTTGAACTGCTTAGTTGGATAAGCTCATTAATGCACAGAAGTCTTACTTACTGTTAAGTCTGAATTCAAACTTTCTTTTAATAGACTACTAAATAGGTTGGTTGCTTTACACCAGCTTATTAACTGACTTGTGATTGTTGTTTCCTAGATGTGCTGTGTAGATTACAGAAATAAGTATTCTAGTTTTTCATTCAAGCTAAGCGATGTCAGTGCTTTGGAAAGCTTCTAGCCCCTTTAATGGAGCGACAAAATAGAATATCTGCGATTGGTGGATCTGCTCTGCTTGATAGCAAAGGAAGGTGGATGAAGGTAGCAACTTGCCTTGCAGTGGGGCTGTCACCTAAATGCAGATGAGCAGAAGACCCTGTAGTTCCTTTTGTAAAACTTCAGTTATTTGCTCTGCCCATAGCTCATGGGAGGAGAACCAACCASGCCATGGAGTGCACTTATTTTGACCACCTGTAGTGTTGGACTTCTACTCTGGAGAGAGATATTTCT